AATCATTCGTTTTGGTACAGAGTGGGACAGGTAGGGGGTGATGTTGCTGTAGTCGAACGGTGAGACGGACGTGTAGTTCAGTTTTGGGCACGCGTACGGTGCTGCAGGGATTATATATAGGTGTAGTAGTACCTCTTCGGGCTCTTGGATACCTTTTTCTTGCTACGTGTGCGTGTTCTTTAGATCCTCAGATGGCTCTAGCACTTTCGTGACCACGGGCTGAGAGTCTTTGCTAGATTTTGGCATTCAGCAACTGGCATACGGTTTAATGTGAAGTCAACAACAACAACAACAACAACAACAGTCTCGAGAAAAATCGACCGAAGAAAAACAACTTGCTTTGAGAAAGAGACCGGAGATCGCCCGGTCTTAAACCAAGTGAAATAAATGCAGGAAGTGGGGTCACCTTTTGGTGGGGACAAAAAGTGGGGTCGTTTTCGAATATAGGTTCTGAGAATATTGGCGACAGAAACTGAATCCCTATCGGGCTTCAGAACCCGGGCGGGGGTATTGTGACAGTACAGTGTTTAGGGCAAGCATGTCGCACCAACACTGTGCCATCGCTACGCTGTGTAAGAGGAGAGCAAGGTCTACAAGAACGCTCGCCGAAAGCACAGCCAGAGTCTTTGAGGGGTCTTATGGTCGGGTAAGGCAACACGGTATCCTCTGCGGACGGAATTTTTTTTCCAGCCAAAAGGCCACACACTGCAAGACGGCAGCTAAACTACTCTCGCGTGCAGTATAAGCGGTGAACAAAAAACAAAACGCGAAGCAGCGCATGACAGGGCAGCCGGCGGCACCGGGCATCACAAGCACACGGCCGGATTGAGCTGATGATACCGGGGATACCGGGCCCGCTCTTAACGCGGGCATGTGCCAAGCGCTCTTAACCGCTGTAGCGGGCACCCGCACAACCGAGCCTTCCCAACTGCCGAATGCTTGTGTTGGAGCTCTTTTTATTCGTGCATGGAGACGAACGTTTCTCTCTTGGCAATGAAAACAAAAAACCAAGAGTGTCTCTCCGGGTGTCCGCGATCGTGATTGGCGTGCACCTAACCGCTGGTACCCCCGACCGACCAACACACACAAGGAGGCGTGTTTCCCTTCACAGCTCAAAGTTCATGGTGAATTGACGTGTCGTGAATCACGTGCGGTTCGGCAATATTGTAGCACGAAAAAACGACATCGGGGCCTTGAGCGAGTCAACACTCGCCTCGCGGCCCTGCGATAAGACCATTGATGGCAGAAAAGCTCTCCGTGGCACAGTCATCGTTCCACATTGTTTGTCCTTCTGCATGGCGAGCGGGTGTCCGTTTTACTCTCAAGAGACATTTCGTCGAAGTACACACGTCAATCTCAAACCGGGGTAGCTGCGTCGAGACTAGAACCCGGTTAAGCCCAGGTTGCCTGCCCCCCACAAAAGCAAACAAATAAATTACTCCTACCAGAGAACAGCAGTAACACACACCTTCTTTCTCTCAAAAATATCACGGAATGCACCACTCGCTGTTACAGCATGTACCACACGCTATTGCTGCTGCTGCAATGTTCAACGAAACACCAACACACGTGCATCACCACCACAAAGGCATCCTCGTCACCCCCCACCCACCCCCCGCATGCGCTCGCAGGCCGCTCTTCCCCTGCGGGGGTGTCGATCCCTAACATTTTCTGTACAATCATACCCCCCGCCCCCCGCCCCCGAAATACGTTATGTATCTTCCGGGCTCCCCCCTGGAACCAGCATCGCCACGTTGTTCCCGTTTAGCAAAATCTTCGGAAGGAGTGGAGCAGGCGGGCGGAGAGGGGCACGTGGGCGCGTGCGAGAGACAGAGATGAACAACAACAAGACTGTGTCAAAAGAAGGAAGAATCACAACCGCAGTTTCCTGTATCTGTAGCAAGGAGTAAGAAGATGCCGTGCTGTACCTCGCTGCGCTACTTTGCCACCCTCGCCTAACGCATTCGGGTTTGCCGCCCGATATCTGGGATGGACACGAGCATCCCTCGGCAGCCGAATTAAGTCGAACAAAGGCAGCAGGGCGCACCGGGGTCTGTCGACACGTTAGCGGCTTGTACATACGGCGAGGTTACAGGGCGGCGCGACCAAAAAAAAAGAAAAATCAAGGTGCAGCAGTGCATCGCTGTCTGCTGTTGTTCGCTCATGTTGATGTTTGTTTGTCTCATCATCAACATAAATATCACTGCTGTAGCAAGCGATGCAGCACCTGATCGAGCTGTATCCTCCGCTTCGTCCCGTCGGCATCAACCTCGTACTCGGTCACGTCGTCCAGCACCATGTTCACGTAGTCGTCGAACCCCCTCAGGGTGCCCACAAGCTCCTGGTCATGAATATTTTAGTACCATGTAACAACAACATTGGATCAGTGTTTCGTGCCGACAACCCCAGGACAAACGACAAACGAAAGCAGCTGTTTTATTCATAAAAAATGTACAAGAGGCACTCAACAGGCACGATTCTAGGCGGGACACGTGCGGTGCTATGCCGCAGCGGAAATGGGGGTTTCCAGATCAAAATTCGTCCCAACCGCGGGTGGAGCACAAGCAAGGGCACATGCGGGGTTTTGTCAATAAACAGGTGTCCTCAAACCGTGCAAGTGTCCTCAAGGTTGATGCCCCTCCTTACGCTCTATATTCTGCGAGCCACCACGCCAGTAAAAAAAAAGGTTGTCATTTACCGGAGGAGTGCCTTTCAAATGGTGTCCTGAACCGAGGGATGAGCGCTGTCATGTACAGCAGTACTTCTTCACTACCGTCGGTTGCGTAAGATACCACACCCCTTGGACCGATTTTCGAAGCTCGATTGCTCCACGACGAGGACGGTTCCGCAGCCAAGCGATAGGCTTTCGGTAATAAGCTCAAGACGAGACAGTTCTAACGCCGACATTCTCAGTAATTTCACTGCTTGGTTGTTGCTGCAGAGTGAACGAGCCTTGAACACATATGGGTAGTTGCAAGGGGGTGTGATATCTTGCGCAATCGACGGAATTTGAAAGCAATGCTCAGGGGTGGCACAAGCACGAGCGAGCGAGCGCAACCAAAGCCCCAATCGCTCCCTGACTCCCTGTGGTTCGCGCTACTCCCCCTTAACTATTCGACCCCCGCCACCGAGCGTCCCCCTTAGGTGGATTGTGTTTGGTGGGCAAGAGCGAGTCGTTTTGAAAAATCGGGGGCGCGCGTGAGGGCAAACTTGGCCACTATCTGCAAGTACTTGTCCCGCTGTACATGTTTAGCCTGTAAACGAAGTTGTTTTTGTCGGTGCCCTGTCCGTCGGTCTGCCAAGAGAGAAGCTAGAAGAACCAACTGCTGTCCCGGGCGACGGCTATCCGGTACTCTCCACGACCACCAAACCATACCGCCGCTCCAACACGAACGGTGGTTCGTACGATCCCCTCCCCTGGCCGTGTTGCTCCTTCAGCGATATTGTATCGAGCCTCATCGAACACACCTTGTCTCCCTTCATGATAATCCACAGCCTGGACCCAATGCACTTGTCGATAAGCTCCAACGGAAGCAATCTTGCAGCCATTTCTCCCTCCTTGCGGCAAAACAGCAGTAACAGCGCGGAAGCCTGTTTTTCTCTATACAGCAGAGGTCAGCAAGTCCTGTTGCTGTTGGCAACGCCTTGTAAACCGGACTCTGGCAGTCTGTGGTAGTGGAAAGCTTCACGAAGGCATTATGGTTTGGGGACAGGGCGGAAGCAGCCCCGGTGCGCGCGCGCGGCGCCTCGTGTGGATGGGCGAGGAGAGAGCGCGTGCGTGATCACTCCCAGAGCGAGGGCATACAGCATCTAGACACCATGGGTGAGTGCCTGGCTAATAGACCCGGGGTCGCGGGTGAAGTGCATGGAGGTGGTGAGGTGTGGAGTTTTCGAGCAATAGCGGTCGGTGGCTGTGGAGTGTCTCGAACAAGAGGGTCGTGACAGCAAGTGTACATAATGGCTGCTGTTGCGTGGCCAGTTGTGCCCATAGCTCGGGCGTCTCAGTGGCGGCGTTGTCGTAGGGCGGGAGTCCTGATCCTTCCCCGACCTTGGTATTCCGTGATGTCGAGTTCCGTGTGTGCTTCGCTCTTCTGCTGTCAGTGAAGAAAGAGTGTATTTTACCCTTTGGCTGCGCAACCTCTCTAGCCACCACCCTCTTCCAGAGAGAAACATCCCAAGCAGCAGCAGCAACAGCAGCAGACACAGCGTTGCATATGCATAGGTGGTGCTAATTATGCAGTGCCGTACGTACGCCCTAGCATTTCGACGCTATCGCCTGGCGGCTCCATTGCTTGGAGTCTTTTGGGCGTCGTTTCTTCGTCTAGAGGCAGGGGTCGGTACTGCTCCGCGAGCTGCCATGTGTACTTGTATCTGTACTTTATTTCCTTTACAACACGATGAGGTGCATCCCACCGAGGATTCATCAGCGTTGGTTTGGTTGAGAGCCCATGCGACCAACGTTTCGCTTGTAAGCAGCAGCATTTTCACAACCTCAAATCCTCCATACCAAGGAAAAGGACATCGTTTCGTGACCCTTGCATTCAAGGCCGTTGTTTGTGTGAGCTTTGCGCTAACTACGGGGCTGGCACACATGTCGGGCCCTATTGCTGTGAGGTTCACCCCTACACCATCAAGAGTGTGCCGTGTTACAGAAGAGTTTCGGCGGCTTCCGCCGCCACCCTTTAGAGAAGCGATTCCAAGATACTTGTTTCTGTGCTGAAGACACGTTTTTGTGCCAGAGATAAGACTGGTGAGACGTGAGCATCGATGAAATAATGTTTGCTTGCGTCACGTGCTTTTCCCGACGTTCATGTGTTTTGGCATGACCGGCTGAATGCTTGGTCTACATACAACGTCGCAGCTTTTCACAATCCCCGAGAGGAATATGTCACGTGATTTTTGCGTGTGATGTGCGTTTCCCGATGTTGGTGAGATGAGTTTCTAATGTGAACAATATCTAAAACAACTAATTGATGGGCTATGCCATTCTCGCAATCGCGAACCTCTCTCTGAAGCAGCACATGCTCGCAATCGCGCACCATCTTTCTGCGCACAGCATCGAAGGTTGTCTGATTGAACGAACACCAGCATTCCTAGACCTCGTTCTCGTCGTTGGACACTCATTTGCCCACCCTCAACTCCCCCCCTGTAGCACATGCCGACATTTGCTGGCGTTGTCATGAGAGCTCCCACTCATCGAGGTTCAAAATCATCTCTCGCCACCGGTGCAGCCACGGTTGCTTCTCGCCGCTCCGTTAGTTTCTCTCTGGCTGTTGAACAACTCCCGCCGTGGTATCTCTGCTGCCACCTTGAACAATCTACTGCAACCTCTCCTTCCACCCCTTCACAAGCTAACGGCGTGTCTGTTTGCCCCCAACTGTCTACACACCTGCACCTGTTAATTGCCTAACTTAGGCTCGGACAAGGCATACAAACTCCGGGACCTCGGGAAGGTCGAGCTTACCGCCAAGCTCACCGAGCTCCGAACCGAGCTCCAGACGGTAAGAGTGCGCATCGTCTTGTACATGTGTATGCACTCTAGCTTTCACGACAGAGAAGAGATTTTCATGGCTTTGACTCGCTTTTTTGGCGTTACCATGGGTTGAAAAAGCCTCAAGACGCAGGAAGAGATCGATTTTGTTTGAGCTTTGAAGGTGAAGTACGTCTGGAGAGAAAAACAGGTGTTTGTACCAAGTGACCCTCTGCTTGACGTTCATGAAAAGGCCGTTGTCGACTATTTGAACTTTTTTATTTCTTTTTCTTGATTGGGGGTAGGGAGGGGGCGAAGAGTTTGCGGTCCCGATGAAAGCGACATCTGTGTCTCTCGCCGTCGTCATCCCCGCCGATCATCATACGTCGGAAGCAGCGTGACTTGCCATATTGTCGACGTCTACGCATAGCTCTCCCACAGCAGTACAACGCCGCTGTTTGCCTGAAAACCAGGCAAAAAGCAATTGCAGGTACGCAAGTCGATAGACACGTAGGAAAAAGAAGTGATGCTGGGACCTACAGGATACAAACTAGCTTGGCGAGAATCCTTGTCTTGGTTTGAGTAGGGATTAGGGTTTTGGGTTGCGAACCCCCCCTCTCTATTTCGCAAATAATACTTGGTATTCTCGCGAAGGTGGTGCACACAAAGACGGGGGGGTAGTTGTCTCGTGTACACCCACAACAGCACACACACACAAGTTACTGAAGATTTGCTCGCGAGGCGATTCTATCCCTCTCGGTAAGCGTCTGCACGTGCACCAACATTCCCGCCCTCTGTCGTGATTGCATTGATCGCACAACAATACGTTCTCCTTCCCTGCGCCATCATGTTGTAGAGAATCGGCACCGTGAAATCGCACTCCCGGCAGCACTACTGCCAGCGCTGTCCGTATCGCGATTTCGGGGTGGTGGTTGTCTAAAACGTGGTGCAAGGAAGACCGGAGGGCATATTGTTGCGTATTGTTGCGCGATCAATGCAATTATGAGGGCGAGAATGTTGGTACACGTGCAGACCCTTACCGAGGAGGGTAAGATCTCTACGAATAGGTTCCCACAGCAGTTGAACCTTAGTTATGTATTTCATTGTGAGAGCAAGCCGACGGTTATCGATGGCGTCACTTTTGGTAGTCCCAATCTAGCTTTTGTTGTTTGTATCTTCCTTGAGGGTTGAAAACGAAAGCGGGGACCCCCCCCGCCCCCGCATGCAAGGAAGTGACATAGGATACCTCTTCACAGACCGCGAGGGCTTGCCACCGGTCGTCTGTCTGTTTGTTGTCTTGTCCCTTTTTTTGCCCGACAACTCGCCGGCATGATCACTCATCATCATTTGTTGTTTTTTTCTGTACGAAAATTGTTGTTGTAAACACACACGTCTCTGTTAGACCTTCTGAGTCTCGTCCGTACAACACACATCAGCTAGTACGATTCGCACCCACAACTCACGTCTTAGTTTCAAAAAACGGGGGGTGAGTGTCTCGTCAACAAAAATAACACACGCTGCTAAACGTTTCATTCCTCATGGTCGTCATTGATCCTACGACGTTTCCTCTTGGCCCGGGAAGTGGTCTTGAGCTCCCTGACGACCTGTCTTTCTCGATGAGAACGAACACGTTTTTGTAGTCGAAAAAGACACAATCGCCCGCGAGCTAAACACAACCCCTTGAGCTAGCTAACACAGGCGCCGTGTGATCGACAACGACCATGAGGAATGAAGTGTGTTCAGTGGTTGTCGAGAAGGTTATGTGGGATCTCTGCGCGTTATCTCCCGCAGCAGTCTATTTGCCGATGAGAGAAGAGCAAACATGGTACCATACGGGAAGTGGCGAGTCTCTTGTACCATAAATGAACAAATAAATATTATCACAATCATTGAACACTTCTCCGTGCCACCAATCGCTTCCTCTTAGCCCAAGGGGTGGTGTTCTGCTGGCGAGCAATCCTAATCCTTCTGATAAGGGTCCTCACCCTTACCAACAGTAGCGCGCCCTCTTGTTTTTCCTGCGTTGGTCGCCAAATTTGTGCTCCTTCTCACGTGCGCCCATCTTGTGTTCGAGATTCCGACTGTATGACAATACACATCAAGTCATACATAGTGTTACACAGTCTGGGATATCCGAGATATTATGGGCACACGTAAGGAGCACATCACCCACAGTCCGATGTGTACTGTTAAAAACAGTCTGAATCTCCGAGGCCTGATGGGCGCATGTAAGGAGCACATGTTTTGTGACCAGCGTAGGTGCATCAAGAGGGCGCGACAGTTGGTAAGCGTGAAGATTCTTTTCAAGAAATCTCTACGCATAGCTCCAAAGCTCTTTCAGTATGTTTGCCTTCGGCGTTCGTGCAGGGCGACCTTGGCCACCGCCGATCTCGTAACGTGAAAAAAATACGGTGAAAAGTCCCCCCGCGTTTGTCATATGTTTGTTGAGACCCGTTTTGTCTCTCTCTTGGTGTTGTGCTGTGATCTCCGGCAAAGTCGCCGCAATATTTCTGTCGCGCCCACCCTCTATTTTTTTCTCGTCTGCTTGACTTTCTCGTGACATTTATGTTAGGTGCTCTCCCCCCCCCTACCCTGATAGGATAGGGAATACATTTTTGAGCCATCTTGGCAGAGTAGAGAGGAACGATTGGCCATCGGTGATCGGTACTGCGGGAACAATGCTCCTCTCGAGGACGCGTGGTCAATGATCCAAACGATAACAAGCATTCAAAGCGTGAGAGTACGCCTCCCCCCGCCCCCATCTCTCGTCCCGGCATTTCAGAAATGCGAGGTCGATGGCCCAACTACTGCGGCATGCGTTTACATGGGTACATATCCCTCCCCTTCCCTTCTTGCGTTGTTTCTTGACCTCAGCTGCGCGTAGCGCAGGTGACCGGCGGCGCTGCCTCCAAGCTCGCCAAGATCGCGGTCGTTCGCAAGAAGATCGCGAGAACCCTCACCGTCTACCACCAGTCGCAGAAGCAGAAGGTGAGCCCGTTGTCTTGCATGGGCCCAATCGCTGTTCGGTGTGGATACCGTAGTCCCTCTCGTCGTTTTGGTGAAGGCCAGCTTTGGTGCGGCTATTGCCTAGAGCCACCCCTTGACCTTTTTTTTATCAGGTTTGCTTTAGCCCCGTCTTGCTCACATGCCACCTTATTTGCTTCATTCACTCTTTTGGG